GAGTAAGAAATGAGAGGGGAGAGATATTTGTTAGGCAGCCCTGTTTGGTCATCAGAGCTACTGCATCCAAGTAGACCTACAGGTACACAGTATGACAGGACACGGCTAATACGTGATACACCCTCAAAACGCTGACAGTTTAGTTAGGTTAAGGCACAAAAACTACTTGGTTAGGATTAAGAAAAGATCATGGTTTGGGTTACAATAGGTACATTATATTAAAGTGTGCTGTAATGTAAAGATGCAAAATTTTTTGCTCAATAATTTCCCAGAACAGCTGGGCATTGTGCTTTTGAGCAAATGTTACTCAAACAGATGTACATAGTGCATTTGTTGGGGACTATTTTCAGTTGTGGATTAATACACATTTGTTGCTCTACTGAGTATTTATTGCAGCGGGACAGCGTATATGGTATTGTGTCTAGAGTGTGGCTAGGGCTGCATATTTCTGTCTGAACCCCACCCGAGTACGACCCCAACCGAAGAGACATTCAGTTTTTTATGTCCGAGCACGGCGAAGTTAATGTAATGTGCAATTGCAGGTTGTTTTAATGTACAGTATCATCAGCAATTATAAATAGGTGGGTCCATTATTTTTATTTCCTTTTACACTATATTTTCAGTAAAAAGAACTTGAAGCACGTCAAGAAGGCTTGCCCACCTGACGTGTGAAATCGACCCAGATCCAATCATCATTTCAAAATATTTGCCCAAACTCGGCCCAACCCATCGGGTCCCCATGGAGTCAGCCATCTAACTTCTGAGTTAAAATAAAGTACAGTGTGTGTGTTCAAGGTAATAAATGAACATGTCACCCAGTGCTACAGCGTGGCTCAGTGATGAGTTTTTAATAGTTTGTGAAAAACTCGAGCTCTATGGCACAGAGGGATAATATCAGGCTTCAAATACAGGGGCCATACTTGTCTTAGGATACATTTATTGTTAGTTTTGGCCTTTTCATGGGAATTTTTGACATGAAGAAAAATAAAGAATATTGGTAGCCTTATCATTTAACTCTACAGAGAAATAACATTTCATTTGATGCTGACAGTGTGTGAAAATCTTCCAAATGACCATTTAAAAGTTTCTCTGGAGGCTTGAGGCAATGTTCCAGAAAAGTTTCACTCTGTCCTTATCTTTGCTCTCACTTATTTTTTCTAGAGAAGTCTGAAAGCAAAAAAGGGCAAACACGTCCAGTAGCAAAGATTTTTAGAACAGCACTTGATCTTATTTGAATACTGATGAATTTTCCTTCTCCAGTGACTCGACGAACCACCAGGCCTCCATCAATAATGAATGTGTGATAGTCTGGGCACTGTTTATTCTACTTATTCTGTTCAATCACTTTTCATTTTTTGATATTTTCCTGCACGGCCAATCCACTTCCCTGCTCTTTTTTTAGCTGAGATCTCGAGCATTGCCCTGTTTTGGACTCTAAAACAGTTCCTGATGAGGACAGAAAGAGAGAGAAATGGCAGTCAATAGGAGACCACAGAGCAGCTTAAATATTAAATGGACAGTGGTGACACAGAAAATGCAATCTTCTTTTCTTAAAGCTTTACGTCCAAATCCAAATGGCAATTGCCTGTTCAACATAACAGTCAAGGGATTTAAAGTCTTAAAGCCTTCTGTGAATTTTAGCCTCACTAAAATTTCTGTAGATTTCTGCTCTGTATTTGTTTGTTGTCCATTCTTCAGCTCTGCATGGTGTTTTAGCGTCTTTCAGTAAATTCTTTTGGTTTCTTCTTTGGTTCATACTGAAATTTCCGTTGCTGTTTAATTTTCTAGCACCACCATGAGGTTGACATTTGTGTTTTTGAGTGAAATGTTTTGACAGCTATTGGATGGATTGCCATTAAATGTGGTACAGACATTCATGTTTCCCCTCAAGAAATACTTGAACGCTTAGCTAAGATGGTGACAATGGTAAACATTATTATTATTAACATTAATTCTAAACATTAGCATGTTAGCTTTGTCTTTGTATGCAAGTTAGAATACCGACGTTAGCATTTAAAGCACCAGTATGCCGACATAGAGTCGCTAGCATTGGCCGAAAACTGTTAAGGCCTTTGCACATCAAGTCAGTATTTTTCCTATGCACTTCTTTAATCCGTTATCTGATTCAGTTTGTTTTTTGTGTTTTTTTAGATGATTGGTTGAAAATATTTAACTTTATTTTACCATTGGTTACATCACAACGGAGAAATGGGTGCTTGAAGCAAAATTCCAAGGTCATGATTAGCATTTACAACTTAGCTGACAGGAAGGGTTAATTAGAAGTGTGAAGTTACCATCCTCCCATATATGACATCAAATGAACTGATTTCAGCTGTGGGTGGTACTGCCGGGCACTGAAATGCCCCAAGCAATCAGCACATGATTCAGGACAGCGACACAGAGAGCCACTGGGTTGGGCAGTAAACAGTGATACAATGTACAGCTTTATATCCAGCAGCATCCGTATGTGACTTCATCCACAGCAATCCAATTCAGCTCTTTTAACAGTGTGGACATTCAGCCACCATCAATCATGACTACAAAAAAAGATTGTGACAGTGCCGATGCATAATACTTCCCTTTATTCATTAACTACACGATGCCCAGTTCGGCTCATTTGCACATCTGTTGGCATCTGTGTGTGGAACAAATGGAGAGGAAATGATGCATGCTGGGCTCTTCATACACACATGTAGTTTATAGTCTGTCTCTGTTCATTTACATCATTTATTTCTGAAAGATAAATGTAATATGTGAATTAGCAGAACTGTGTAGGAGAACATATGGTCAACCAGACTTCAACAAACAAATTGTTTGTTTAATCAGTTCAGTGAATTTTTAGTGCGATTGATAGCCCTTTATATTGACTTTTGTCCAATAATTCATTTAGTTGATGTTTAAAAGTAGCCATAATACTAGCTCTGTCTAGCTGGCTCTTGTAGCCCTGTTTTCTCTGTGTTAAATCATAAATTCCAGTCCAGTGTCTCAGTTAACGACCAGCTTGTTTAAGTCGTGCCGTTTCATTTGTGCGTTCCATAAGGCTGTTGAGGTGCGGTGAAGTGTGATGTTTTTGTTGTTGTTATTCAGATCATCTGCTCAATCAGCGCGAGTGAAACAGGTGTGCGTCATTAGGACTGAGGGACTGTCAGGTTGAAGGGTAAAACTGCTCTGTTGTAAATGTCACTGTGTTAAAGTAAGTGCACACAGATAAACTGTGATTCTCAGCAGGAACAAAGGAATCTACAATTATTTTTTTTTTTACTGTGTATTCTTTTAAAGCTCTGCGTCCGTCTAGCTCAGCCTGTGCTGAGTAGTGTTGGGCAGTAACTCATTACTAGTAGTAATATTAATTCAATTCAGTTATCTCAGGACACTTTTCAAATAGAGCAGGCCTAGACCGAACTCCTTATAACATTATTTACAGAGACCCAACAGTACCACCATGAGCAATAATATGTATATATGTATATAAATAACTGCCTATATTGTTTTATTTTATTTTGTGTATCATTTATGTTATTCTATGACTTTAATGATCTCTTTCTGTGTGTAGCATGAAGGAACTGCAATCTTTAATTTAGTCATACAGCCTTGTGTTGCATAATAAAGAAATAAATCCCTCGATTGTTGCTACCCTCTACTAATTTGAAATCCATTTCTGTAATCTTGGAGGAGACTAGCTTGGAAGATGGAAATGCTTATATTTATCGGCTGGATGGATTGAATGATTTTATTTATTTAGGCGTCCTCTATCATTCTGTGGTGCCCAGTATGGGCTTACAATACACTAACACAACAACAGCCAAAATGGACACATGACAAATCGTAATGTACGTTTCCACAAATTCAAAAAGAACATTTCATGAGATTACATTTCCGTGACCAAAATGTCCTATTCTGTTGGATACAGTGTTCTCTGTCTTACCTGCCATGCATTTTCTATAAATCTTGCTAAAACAAAAATCTCTCCCTGAAAAGCGCCAACTCAACATTTCACCTTCACAACCAGAACAAATCAGGGTTCTTCAATTGGATTTTTTCAAACAGAGGGTTCACAGAGAACACAGAAACGCTGCTGTTCAGGCATCCCTTTATATCTGCCTGCCTCAGTTGCCAGTGGTAAGGTCCCAGTTCTTAACTGAGCTTAACTTACAGTGGTAGTGTAATTATGGCTGGCAGTGTAATAAGTAAAGTAATGCGATTACTTCTGAAAAAGGTAATGAGTAATGAAACCCATTTTTTGAGGAACCAGGCCAGCACTGGTGCTAAGCAGATGATAGGTTGGTTCTGTTCAGTTTTAAATAGCTTTTGTTGAACATCGTGGGGATTGATTGTGTCATTTAAATGCATGGACTCGTTTTTTTTCTCCACAGCGGCCGTTTTGACATAAAATAGGGTAAACACAGGTGTTAGCAATGATACTGATGAAGGTTCTGTTCCATTGAGTGCCGCAGACTTTACAGTGAGCCAACATGCACAACAGCAGCACCCTGACTCTGTTTGACCTGAATGGAATGGAACCATCATGTGTTCACCCTACTATTTCATGTCAAAATGGCTGTCATTCAGGTGTATTGAAAATCTTCTGCCCTCTATATCTGGGGTGTTGGCACTACAGACACTGACCGTGAGTATTTACATGCAGCCTGTGCATCAAAACCATCAGCTAGGAAATGATGCATGCACCCGGTCCAGTACTGCTCAGTCACAGGGGTCAGGCAGCCTTCTGAAGACGCTCAGTGGTGACACTTGGAGATGCAAATTGGTATTGGGGGGGGGGGGCACATGTGTAATTCAATTAAAAATGATGTTGCTTTTGGTGATGGGACCCTCAGGGCATTCTGGGTGCATTTCCTGTTGGTAATCTATGCTTGGCCATTACAGAGCCATTTGGACAGTTTATCGATCAGTTACAGTAAAGGGGTCACCGGCATTAAAACACACAGCAGCCGCACACTCAATGCTCACTGTTGTATCCGCAGAAATCCTGCCATTGATCATATGTGAGAAACAAGAGGCGTTTGTTTCCCACACTGCGAGAGCCCGCCCGTGTATCACACACACACACACACACACACACACACACACACACACACACACACACACACACACACACCCTCACTCACTGTGCTCTGCCGCTCTCTCATCCGGCTGGGAGAGACCGAAGCAGCCTGGCAGAGAAACAGCGAGGAGGGGAGAGGAAACAGAGCGACGGAGATGGCGAGCATCAACATGGGGCCGAGACCGCTGCTGCTGCTGCTGCTGCTCGCGTGGGTCTTAATGGCCTTCCTAACGCCTAACGTCCGATGTCTTAACGGCGACGAGGACCAGAGCCAGGACACCGAGTGCAAGATGAAGAGCGTCACCGTGTCTGCGCTGCCGTTTCTGAGGGAAAACGACCTGAGCATCATGCACAGTCCGTCGGCCTCCGAGCCCAAGCTGCTGTTCTCCGTTAGAAACGATTTTCCCGGGGACGTCGTGGTGGTGGACGACCTGGAAAACACCGAGCTCCCCTTTTTCGTCTTAGGTGAGTCTTGGCGGTCTCCGCGGTTCATTAGCCGCTAACTGAGCACATGAACCCCCCCTTACTATTTATTACTACACCGGAACATCTGTTATCTGTTATCCATTAGCTTAGGCCTGGCTACATATGATGTTTCCACTGTTTTAAAGACACTACATGCTATGTAACAACCAGAATGAGTAGCTAACGCAATTAGCTGCGTTATACGTCTTAACCAGTCTCTGCCAATGGATGCTAATTAGTTCCGCGCGACACTGGTGGGCTAAGTCATCACTTGACACTTCTTATTGCAAATATAGGCCGCATAGCATCCTAATGCTAACAAAATTGTAGTTTTTGCCATTCAGTGGAACTAGCAATAAATACATCTGTGAGAGTCGCGCCACTTTCACGCCTCCAGTGTCCATTCATGAGTAGCGTTATGTTCTCTCTAACGTTAGCATACACACGTGGTACGGTTAGGTGCATGTGTAGCAAACTACTTGCTCATTAACAGACTAGCAAGTGTGCCGCCAAACTCCTGTCACTTTATTACAACTTTTATCGCGCACCTCTTCCTGCTGCTGTGCGGCCCCTTCCTGCTGCCCATGTCTGATGTGTTTTATGTGGGATTAAAACGCGACAGTTGACGCTCTGGGGTTGGTGTTCAGGCTCTATAAAAGCAACTTTATTCAAGTTTAGACCAAAGCAAGTCCACGTGAAGTGGACATTGAGTAATGCTTCAATAACAGGGAGTTTGGCAGAAAGTGGCAAAGTTTGCATTGTGGGAGTTAGCCGGCCGCTGTCCATGGTGCTGAACCGGCTGTGCGGCGCTCCGCGGCCCGGTGCTACTGTTGGGACTCACTGTGGGGCTCTGTGTGGGCTGCAGTGGGACTTTTATACAACCAGTTTGGTCAACTTTGTGTCATTGGATGTTTGTGTGAGGATTTAGTGTTGTTACTGGTGGCTCTGGGCCTCATTGTGCAACAATTTGATGTTCTATTGGCTCAAGTCAACAATCAGCAGGAAAGCAGTTTAAAAGTTTGTGCACGTGTGTGTTGTCTGTTATATAGCTACTGAGCTGTTTCATCTGTGCAGTCTCTTTGTTGTCACTTGTTGAAGCAGTTGCCTGTTTGAATCAGTTTTACACACATGCATTTTACATGGATGCTGTAGTTTTTCTCCGTTGTGCCTTTTTGATGTGTCAAATGCTTTTGAACTGTGCAGCTTAAAAAATTGGCTGCATTTTGTCACATACACGATTAAAGTACTTGTATTCTGTGTATTCTGAATAAAGATACTTGACATACTGATTCAAATTCAACAGAAATTCAAACACACATATACTGCAGGATTTAGAAAACCTCAAGCTATCAGTAATCTGTTAATTGCCGGCATCAGTTGCGTGGCATGGGTAGTGCAGATGCTCTGCAGACTTTCTCATAAATAAACTGTTCATAGTGTTGTTTAATTTATGTGGAAACTCAACTATACTTTTGTCAGATAGCATACCATAAAAGGCTCAGAGGAAGAGAGGAGGGAGAGAGAAAGGGGGGATGACATGCAACGAAAGGTCTCTGGCTTGACATGAACTGATTGCATGTCCAGTATCTTTGACCCCTACACCTGTATTTAGCCATATTCTGGTGTTTGGAACATACAGTATGGACAGTATGTATGGGAAGTGGAGAACTATGCTTTAGGAGTGATTTAATACTTTCTTCTGCCATGGAAATGTGTCATATATATTAAGTGATATATTAAATATAACTATATAATAACAATAACAATGATAGTAATAATAATATTGTTTTTACAGCAGCAACAGCAAAGTTTACAACAGCAAAGTCACTATATAAACTCAATTATATCTCATTGGAAACAAATCGAAAATGTCAGTAAAATAAATAATATTCCTGACATCAAACACACAGACATCAGTCAGTATCAGTCCTACCTCCTCTCCTCTCAGATTCTTGCAAACTAACACTTACACACAGACAGCTTCATTCATTATTAAATTAACAAGCGTGCTGTGATTGTAACAACAACCGCAGAAAAAGCAGGTGGAAATATCGCTTCACTACGTTTTCTACTTTCTACTTGAGTAGTTGTAAAGTTTGGTAAACTGCCTGTCTGCTCTCTCTCTCTGTGTGTGTGTGTGTGTGTGTGTGTGTGTGTGTGTGTGTGTGTGTGTGTGTGTGGAACTGAGCCCTGGCCTCTGTCCTGCAGAGGAGAGGACAGAGAAGCGTGACCATGACAAATGACAAATGACAAACAAAACGTAGTAACATTTAGGTGCTGGACCCTATTGCATAATGATTATTATTACTGTTAATGATCATGAGGCTGTTTTGGTGGTGCCCCCTCCACATTTGGCGCACAGCGAGTGATGTGTGTGAGTGTACAATGTCACTGACAAAAATTCAGCTACCTGGTAACCCTATAGACATGCGGTGTATGGGTTATGACTGAAAGCAACATTATGCAACTAAAGGCGTACCGTAGGTTTGGTCTCAGCGTTGGCCGTAACTGCTCAGTACATCAGTATAACAGAAAAAAGGGGGGCTCCGATCAGGTGTTTTGAGGCTGCTCACGATCACTAGAAGCAGTATCGGCCGATTACCGATCACTGGGTCTATTATTTAAAGCCTTATGTTTATAGTGTAGCCTTATTTATTTAGTATTATTTACTATTTTTAACAATATTCTATATTAGGTATTAAAATGCATTGATTATTAAATTATGAATGGATAGCTGTGCAGGCAACATGTTCAACATGACACAGCTTAAACCGCAGCCTGTTGTTGGTTACTGGGAGCAGCTTAAAGCTTATCAGTGTGTCCACAGAATGACAGTGGAACTGTGGAGGGTATATTTCTATTTCTATAGCTCATTTATTACTTAACCATTTTAATTCTGTTCTAATTATCCACCTTATTTTCATGTTTTATTATTTACTCACAAAATACTTTGTGCACTTGCTTTTTCCCTTTCGGAGCACCCTCAACATAAAAGCCTTTGCTTAGAGTAATTATAGTCTAAAGTAGGGATGCACCGATATGAAAATTTTGTCCGATACCGATATCCGATATTAATTTTGCTGTTATGGCCGATAACCGATATTTACCGATATCGATATATGTTTTTTAAAAAAAGTTTCTGAGATGATAAAATTTAGTACAGACTGAAAATCATGCAAACTGAATTTTTGAATGTCTTCCTTTATTTTCAGAACGTATTTTACTTCCAAATAACAAAGCTACAGGGCTACCATAAAACATAAGTAACCAACCTTTACCACTTATCAAACATGCCAGTATCCATGGCAACATGTTTTCAGCTCTGTGCACTCCAGTTAAACTCAAATCTGTGAAAAAGGCTAAATCAAAATATCCAAAACATGTCCTGACTGTTAGTGCACATTTTTTCAACTTGCACTGTAATTTTCCACGTAGCAAACATGCAGTCAAATGCGCCAGCGATGGCGACCCCCGTATGCGATCCTGCAAACTCTTGCGCATGTAAAACAGCTCTCTTCATTTCAAAGTTTCCATCGATCCACTGAGCAGTAAGCCTCAACATACTCATCTGACTTACGTCCGAACTCCATATATCCGTAGTGAAGCTAATGTCAGTCACACTGTCCAACAGTTTGTGGATATGCGTGGCCACGACTTCGTACCAAGAAGGGAGGGAGACTTGGCAGGCTGTAGCGGGGTTCAATATGCTCTATCAACCGCCGAAATCCTCGGTCCTCCACTATGGAAAATGGCTGGTTGGCAAGAGCAATCATTTCCATTACCTTGTTGGTTGTTGACCTGGCTTTTGCGCTGTCCTTGGCAAATTCCTTGGTCTGGTCGAGTACCTGCTGTATTGGGCTCCCAGCTGCTGCTGCTTTTGTTTTTGCCTGCTGGCTAACGTTAGCAGCATTTGCTTCCTGTAATTGTTTGTGTAGTTCTGGGTGGCGGTTTTTCAAATGTCATATTAAATTTGTGGTGTTGAATGACTTGACGCGGCATCCTCCTTGCAATGCCTCGACTTTGCAGGTGTTGCATACTGCTTTTCGAGTGTCTTCTTTTGACACCGTGAAAAACGCCCACACCGCTGACATTTTTTCTCCTCTTCAGTTTAACATCCCACAATCCTGTGCTGCCACTGTCGCGTGCCCAAACAAATACACATGGCCAAATCCCCCTCCCCCTCCTTCTCCCTCTCCCGACACACAAACAGCCAACTAGAGGATATACATCGGTTGTGGATATCGGCCCAATTTTACTCATCGGACCGATGCCGATATGTAAAAAAATGACGAACATCGGCCGATACCGATATTAATGCCGATATATCGTGCATCCCTAGTCTAAAGTTAGAAATGTTTTCTGAATTAACTTATGTATTAAGTATTACATTGAATAAACAGTAAGTGAACACACCAAAGAAGTCTCAATCAGGGGCCTGATTCTGATCTGAGTTTGGTATCTGCTGGTACAATCTGTCTGATCCGATACTTTTGACTCTTGTACTTGAATGTTGATTTAATAGCTATCTTATTGAAATCACAGCTGGAGCTACTGAATCTGACACACCCTATTTACACAAGCTTCTTTATCCATACACTGAATGTCCTGGTTGAAAAGTATTGCAATTATAAGCTTAAGTTATTGATCTGATATGAATGGAAGTGTAACTGGAGATTGCAACTCTTGAAACTGACATGACGAGATGAGCTACAGAAACACTTTACAGAGTGGAGCCTCTTCCCTCACAAACGAGTCCAGACGCTGACTGCAGAGAGCACTTTAACCAGACAGCAGTTACCAAGTCACTCATAGAATTAATGTTAATTAGTGACAGCTAATAGAGCTGATATGACGTTGATATCCGTTGGAGACGTTTGTCACCTGACTTGAGCTGACTGATGGTCAAACTGCTATCTGAGTGTCTGAGCTTGGAGAATGTTTCTGCCAACTGTCTGAACTCCTGTTTTACATTCATATGCAGTGAAATGCTGCACTGTAAG